CTCTCTGTCGCTTTGCCTAGGTATGTGTCAGTGTCGCTCCTCTCTGCCAGAACTAAAGGGAGTGGTGATAGTTTTGGGGGCCGGTGACACTGCATTTGACTGTGCCACCTCAGCCCTTCGGTGTGGAGCCAAAAGAGTGTATGTCTGCTTCAGGAGGGGATTCACCAACATTAGAGCTGTTCCTGAGGAGGTGCTGATGAGAGGCAGATGGATCAACTGACGCAGTATACAGACAGATTACCAGATGAGTGTACTGATATGTATGACGTTTTTTCCTCTCAGATGGAGTTGGCTAAAGAGGAGCAGTGCGAGTTCCTTCCTTTTCTGTCTCCCCGTGAGGTCATTATGAAGAATGGGCATGTTGCTGGGTTACAGTTCTGTCGCACTGAGCAGACTGAGGAAGGTGACTGGGTTGAAGACGAGGAGCAAATTGTCAGACTGAAGGCTGATTACATAATCAGTGCTTTTGGATCCATGTTGAATGAGCCACAAGGTAATGAGTAATCAGCTGCGCAACACATTACCCAACTTCTTGCTTCACCTTTAACTAGAAGAAGTAATGACAAATCCAGATGTAATTGTATAACTTTGGTTTCTGAGTGCTGGTTTGTCTTTTTTAATTTTACATTTTTTTTTAAATATACATTACTGAGCAAGTCTCTTGACCAACTCCCAGTTTCTTAACATGGGAAATAGGTGCAAAACCTGTAATTTAAATACAGCGCAAAAGCGTTCTCTGTTAGGTGTAGACAACACTAGGTCATCTTTTGAATAAGGAACCTTTTAATGTTTGGTCAATGTTCAGAGGCTTGACACACAAAAGCACATTTCTCTGAAAATCATCAGTTACAAAGACCTGGAGTACCAGCAGCCCAAAACAACAGTCAATAGCAGAATAAGCTTCTTTGGTACTGGCAGATGAGCTTTTTCAAGTTTTTCCACATACTAAAGTTTGCTGCTCAACCCACAAATGCATTTTCCTTTCAGGTGCAGCACCATTTAAGGGGGAATTTTCCAACAGTAGAACATTTATTGCAAAGAAGCATTTTTACAGCAAAGAAAACACAAATTTCCTTACTCTTTGTGCTAAACTTAGATGAGATGTTAATCAGTATAGCTTGCTATATATTCTTTCAGACTAGGGAGCAAGCAAATTCATCTAGATTTTGTGTTATTACATAACAAAATTAAATCTGTAATGGTTTGAAAGTTTGTAGGTGATGTTTAGACTGAGGCAGAGCATGAAACTGACTGATATGCTGGGTGCTTGTAGTGACTGAGGCCATGACGCCTGTGAAGCTGAGTCGCTGGGGTACTCCAGAGGTGAACACAGGCACCATGCAGACCAGTGAGCCCTGGGTTTTTGCTGGAGGAGACGTCGCTGGTTTGGCAAACACCACAGTGGAGTCAGTGAATGATGGCAAACAAGCCTCGTGGCATATTCACAGATACATACAGGTAAGTCTGCTAAGACTCTAAACACCAATGAGTTCGATAAGGAGAGATCATTTGGAAGAACCGAACACGATTTACTGAGATGGAAAAATGAATGAATTTGGCGATTAGACTCCAATGACCCGTTATCGCAGAAAAGAATCCCAGTAGCGATAGGATTTAGAACAGGAAACCCCAAAACATAGGCACTGGTGGTGTTGAAGATGGAGATGGAAGCTTGGATGGGGCGAGATGGAGATGGAGAGGTGGTTGGTTGCATGAATGAGAATCCGATGGAAAAGCACAGATTTTAAACCATTTAGAATGGAGGCTGCTTGCCTTCTTTGATCCAATCAAAAAGGTGACTGGACTAGTATAATGATGACAGCACTGAGTTTGACAGCATGGGAAGGCTATAGTGAACATCTAGGCAGTGTTGGGGAGTAACGGAATACATGTACCGCCGTTACGTATTTAAAATACAAAATATGAGTAACTGTATTCCGTTACAGTTACCGTT